ACCACTGGGCTGAGAGGGGGCTTCTTTGGATCGGCGCCTGGCCCTTCCCTGGCGGCGCTTCTGGCGCCGCCCTCACTCCACATGCCTTACTAATCGACCCCCCCCTAAAAACCAGAACCCCCCTCCAAACGCGACCTAATATTCCGGACCCCTCTCTTCGACGGGGCGCCTCAATAAATTTGACCCCCTAAGCTCCAATCTAAAGAAAGCGCCCTACTAAACCGGACTCCCCCCATTTGCAAAACAGGCGCCTTACAAAACCGGACCCAGGTGACCATTCGTGAGGGATTTGGAGTAGCGCGCTCCGCGCGGCAGCGGGAGGGGGGCCCAGTGCCCCGTCTTTTGTTCTGCCACCTGCGGTCGGGAGCGTTTGCTTGTTGTGTCGCGCCGCCACTTCTGGCCCGCCGCACGCTCCGGGGCGACACGCCGACCATGCCTGGGTCCCCGAGCGGCAGCGTGCCGAGATTTGCCCATGCTCCCGCCACGCGGAGCGGAGCGACGCGCCGTCCGCGTGCAGGGCACAGCGTGTCGCCCGTGCCGCCGCGGCATGCTCAGCAACAGTTCCCGACGGTGCTGATTTCTGCAACTGCTTGCGAACCCTGCCCCCGCGGGTCCAAGCGACGCTGGGGTACGGGACACCCCCCGTTGGGGATCAATTGGGTGAAAACACGATGTGGGCTCTGAACTCGGCCAGCGTTACAAAGATCTGACCGGCAGGGGTAGGGTTCACATTGTTTGGTTGCCTATGATAGTGGCGACGACGCTGATGATGGGAGGGAGGGGGAGAAGAGGAGCACGAGGATGAGGGAGAAGGACGGCGACGGCCTTGGCGGGTTCCTGGTGGGTTCCAGGTGTTTGCCCTGGGGAGGTGTCACAGGGGTCTCGAGGGATCGCAGATGTTTCGGGTGGGCAGGGGGCAGGGCGGATGAGTTGCGTGGAACCTGTCTGCGGAGGGGGGGGGCCTTTGCCCCGAGATGTGTTGCGTTGCTCGGCGCCGACAAGATGCCCTCGGGTAGTCTTGACAGGCCATGGCTGCGGTCCTCCGGTTGCCTCATAACGTTGCGGAGTGCCTCGGATGTTGCGCCGATCGCCCAGCTGGGAGGGGGGGGGTCAGGGAACTTCCACCACCACTTCGACACGAGGCCCTCCTCGCCAGGGATGGGGTGCGAAAGGATGAGGGTGCCCCCCCTCCAATGCTGCTGCGGCGCTCGTGGTCTTGTTTCCCCTCCCACCCTTGCCATGAAGGTCGAGGACGAGGAGGAGGAGGAGGAGGAGGAGGAGGAGGAGGAGCGCAGCGGAGGAGGAGGAGGAGGAGGAGGAGGAGGAGGAGGAGCAGGAGGAGGGACAAAGCCAAATCACGCTGTGCGTCGTGGGCCCACTCGGATCGCGGCTGTGGGCAAGATATATGCCTTATGCCCGCTTGAAGGCGACGTCGCACCTCAGCTCGAACAGCTGTCCTTGGCTCGCGGGCTCCCGCGTCAGCGATCGACTTGGGGCTCCGCAACAAAGAAAAATGCGTACACCGACACCCTCCAGTGGACTGTTCCGGCGTTTCATGAAGAGGGTGGCGGTGTGCGGATCACAACCGAGAGCCAGCGAGAGCATACAGCGCCACCCCTCCCCGGAGGGCACACGAACAACTCCTCGACGGGTGTTTTTGTGTATATGTATTTATGTGTATAAAGATACACAGGTGTTTGTGTGTGTTGCGTATGTGTATGTGTATGTGTATGGATGCATGCATGCATACCTGCATGCCTGCATGTATGTTTGTATGTATGTATGTATATGTGTATGTATGTATGTATGTATGTATGTATGTATGTATGTATGTATGTATGTAGGTATGTCAGAAGTATGTATGTATGTATGTGTTCATGTATGTATGTATGTATGTATGTATGTATGAATGTACGTATGTATGTGTGTACGTGTGTATGTATGGATGTATGTATGCATGTGTGTGCATGTGTATGCATGCATGTATGTATGTATGCCTGTATGTATGTATATATGCATGTGTGTAAGTATGTATACATGTATGTATGCATGCATGCATGCATGCATGCATGTATGTATGTATGTATGTATGTATGTGTGTGTGTATGTATGTATATAGGTATGTATGTGTATGCATGTATGCATGTATACATGCATGTATGTATGTATGTATATATGTATGTATGTATGGGTGTATGTATGTATGTATGTGTGTATATATGTATGTACGTATGAATTGATGGATGGATGGATGGATGGATGGATGGATGGATGTATGCAACATATATATATATATGTATATATATATACATACATAAATATACGTATAGGCTCGTGGCGCAAGGGCCTTAGATCGCTGCTCGGTGTTGCCAGCGGTCACAACGCCCGTGGTCAGGGGCAGCGTTCGGGGTAGGATATCGGATCGGGGGGGATTTCCAGGAGCCTTAGTTGCCTCGATACGCCCGTTTTGAAACGCAATACGTCCCGTGTTCAAGACGTCCGTGTCAATACGTTGCGTTTTGACTCCACGTATTGGACCACGTTTTGGCGAGTGTATCGCGTCGGACCTACGTTTTCAGCCTACGTGTTGAGCTCCGTATCAATACGATACGTGTTGCGTGTTGCGTATCGGGGCAGCTAAGTCAGGAGCGAAAGAAGGACGTACACGTACACGAATCCACGCCGGTTTCGAGATTTCGCATTGCGCGAACGTTCGTATCACGCGGCCAGTCTCGCGGGTCAAAGGCCGTCTTCATGCACATAGCTGGGCGCGTACGTCCTTTGTGGGCTCCCTAGTGATGGCCTCAGCCCAGATCCTCGGATACCAGATGCCGCGATCGGTAGCGACCGATCGGCATTCCAAATCGGTCCCGACCGATCGCGACCGATTCCGAAGTCGCGTCGCGACTAGTCGCGACTGCTCGCGACAGGTCGGTCGCGACCGATCGGTCGCGACCGACTGTGAAGCAAACCGGCCGCGACCGACCCTAGAATTTGAAACACCATCGGTAGCGCCCGATCTCGTCCGTCACGACTGGAAACTTCCAGCATCCAGTGAGCAGGAAGGGGCATACAGTCGGGGCCCTGAAGAAGGAACCCTTTTCGTTGGGGAGGGGCTCCGCGTTCCTCAAGTGTTTCGCAGCTTGCCTCAGGTTTCCCTTATGTTTCCGATGGGGAATGGAAGTTTAACTTATGGAAAAGAGGGGCCTCGTTCCTTATTTAGGGTTCCTTAGGTCAGCGCCCCGACTGTGCTCGAGGTCTGCGCGCGTCGTCGTCGGCTCCCGGCGGTGCTCCAGCCTCGGGGTGCTCCCTGTGGAGGCCTCCAGGGGTGCCCGGCGCGTCCCGAACGGCCGCCAGAGGGCTCAGCTCGACTACACGTAAGAGTGACCCTTCGCCGGAGTGACCTTTTGGTGCGGGCTCATCGGGCTCCCCCCGATCGCCGAGCACGCTGCGATATGAGCGGCCCACGCCCTTGGGTTTGGCTCCCTCGCGCCCCGAAAGCTGCGCACCAAAGGTCACTCTTACCCAGGGTCACTCTTACGTCTAGCCGATCAGTTCTGACCCGGAAGCCAGGGGGCAACGCAGGGGGGAAGTAGTGTAAGTCGGGCATGTCCCTCTACAGGGAGAAAATTCAAAAATAGTAATAACAAAAAATAGTCTGGGGGCGAGTTTTTTGACTATTTTTCATATTTTGGGGGTATTTTCTGAATATTCTTAGTTTTTCGTCCAAAATCGGCCTGTAGGAGGACATGCCCGACCTAAGAATAATTTCGGGGGGCTGTGATGCATCGACCCCCAAACGCCCATTGATCGGCGACCGTGGCCCGATAGCCCACCCAGGCCCAGTGCGGATTTGCTATCGGGGTCCTACCGCCTTTGTCAAAGACATGCGCAATCTGGAATCGTCCAGCTGGTCTCCGCCAAATCCCGTCCGGTCCGGCTTAATCCTGGGCCAGATCTGGCCAAATCTGGCTCAATGGCCTTTGTATCGGGCTTGTTGTGCCTGGATCGTTCTCACGAGAACCTCCCCCCAGAGTTGCTTCCTAACACATCGCCTTCCGGGGCAACGGATGCAGAAGCGGAGCGGACGCGGAGCGGCATAGCAAGCTCCCCGGGCAGTGCTCGTGCGGCTGCAGCCATCAGGCCAGACCACGAAGGCAGTCCGCGCATGCGTCGCGCCGTTCGTCGGCCAGGCGCGGGAGGGTAAAACAGGGCTAGGATCCGGATAAATCGCTCCAGAGCGTTCCGGAGCGCTCTCAGAGCGTTCCGGAACGCTCTGGAGCGGCCGCGGCGCCCAATACATCCTCCAAACCCGCCGATTCTCAGAGATTTCGAGTTATCCCGATCCGATTTTGTCCCGATCTTCGCGTCGTTTTAGAGGGGGCCTGCGAGCACTCCCGTCAGGCCTCCGGAGGACCCGGAGCCCAGGAGGCAGACCAGCTCGTCCCGGGCTCCGCGCCCGCTCCTCCCCTGCCTGGCCCCTGGGCCTCTCGGCAGCCTGCCGCCCCAGAGCCTGCAGGCCATTCCCGCCGTCCGGCCCTCGGCATCGCCGCGGGAAGCTCCACGCCGCTGAAACTCGCGCAGGGAGTCCTCTTCCGCCTGCGGCGCAGGCCGGGACGCGAGGCGGCCTCGGGGCCCGGAGCTCTGGGAGCGCACGGCGCAGCAGCCGTGCCGGGGCGCCCCCCTGCAGGGGCGCGGAGGTGGTCGCGCTCCGCCGCGTCGCGGCCTGGACCGGTGAGCTGCCCTCCTCCCATGGGGGGCGGCGCGAGGGCGCGGCGAGGATGGCTCGCCGCGCCCCCGCGGGGCGCGGCGCGCGCAGCTCGGTGGCCGGGGCTCTCGGCAGCTGCCGGCCCTCAGGGGGGCCCGGGCGCGGCATGGCCGCTGCGGGCGCGGCGCCATGGCGCGCCCTGCTGCGGCCGCGGCCGCGGCTGCACCCCGCGGCCCGCGCCTGCCGGCCCGGCCCGCCCGCGGGCCGCCGTGCCGCGGCCTCGGGCGCGGAG